AATATTGTAACAATTTATCATATATATTGCAATTGAAAATGTATATATTAACGTTATGCACAATTAGTTCAATGTATATTTTTTTCTATTTTTTTTTATTTTTCAGCTGTGGCAGAATATAAAACAATTACGACTGTCATTGTGTCTCAAAAAACTTATAGAGTCACACAGTAACTTACCTCTAGACACATTACAGATAACCTTTGTTGTCATTTTCTTAGGTTCAGATATCATTGACACATTTATGAGACAGTTGAGGATTCTCTACCGAAAAGAATACATTGAAGATGAAAGAAAAGACGTCAACAAGTTGGTTTCCTATAACGTCAATATAGACATCCAATCACTGATCAGTTCCAATGTGACCCTGCAGATTGATTATGATGATCATCAGACCATAGTGAGAGCTTAAACTGTTGACATCAAAACTTTTACTTGTTATTAAAATTAGTTTAGCTTCAAGTAGCAATACAAATAAGTGAACTGCGGAATAGCATTATATATGCTCTGTTTGTAAACAAATTACTGGATGGCAAATTCTTTCATTTTAATTTAAGAATTCATTCCAAGTAATTACTACACAATCAAACATTATTCCTATTCATATCACAGATATAAATGAGTATATGAAATGAGTATCTCTTGCTTCACTCTAAGTAAACCTCTTGTCATTGGAGTGTGTTTGACAGAATTATTTGTCTAATTTGAGATATGATAACCAATAGACAGCACTTAGCGTATGTCCAAAGCTTTGTAATTTGATTCAGTCGGCCAGCCAGACTAACTAACACCATGTGCACAGTTTAAATTCTGGAAAGGAGCAGGTAGAGCCTGATTTCAAAGATAAGACTGACAAAGTCCATTGAAACAGTTTGGAAACAATCAGATAACTACAGATATGATGCAAAAAAAACTTTTTTAAAATAAAGAAACGTTCTTAGAGCAGCTAGTTGTTTAAAGGTACACAGCTTTTTAGGGACATTATAAAGGATATATCTAAAAAAAAAAAATAGCTACATTGCCGCTGTGATCTTGACTGTTATGGTTACAGAATTCCATTCAATATAAAAATACTTTATCAAGCCCAAAGAACAACTTAATTGAAAGGTGCATGATAGGCCTGCCTCAGGTGCTCCGATTGATTCAGTCTGTTTACCATCAAAGAGTATTGAGTCTTACCAGCCTGATTTACGATCTGTAGGTTACACTGACTGCTATAGTGCAGCTTTACTGCAGTCTTAGCTCCCCTTTAACACAGAACCAGGCTAAGCTACTCTGTGACTAGGTCCTATGAAAGCCATGAAAATGAGGAAGTTTATAGCCATTTCTGACTGTCACCACCCTCACTCAGCGTAAGCTCTGTCGCCAGCAAATGTAACAGTTGATACAAAAAGAAGGCAAAGGATGGATGCCGAAATTCTCATTAGTATTTTGGGTGCTAATTAAATTTTTGAGGAGCTTTAGCATCAGTACCTTTGTCTGAGATATCACATTTGTAGTTCACACACTGCACAGGTATTGTAATCTGTGCTTAAATGTCATCCAAACCTATTTGCACAGCGACAGAAAAAAACACCTTTGAATACACCAAAAATTACGATTTTGCCAAAAATCGTAATTGCGATTATGTTCAACCAATATTGTGATGGTATTTTTTTTTCTTTCTTTTTACACTAACCACAAGCACATGTGTCACTCCAATGTTTTATTTTTTTCATGACCATTAATGCCTGAGGCCTTCATCCAGAGTCCATTGTCGAAGGGCCTTACCGTTACCATTGTTTGGAAAATACTTACGTCTACTTGCATGCAGTGGTGGACGAAGTACTCAACAGTAGCACTTGAATAAAAGTATTAAGTATTAAAGCACTCACTTTTGAAAATAGTTATTCAAATATAAATAGATTTAAAAGTCCTTAAGTATTCATAAATACAAATTACATTTTCTAATATCAGTACATCTCTCCATAATTTTAAAGAATGTTGTAACTTTCAAAAACCACCTTATGTATTGATGCATAGAACCACTCTGCTACAAATCCTACACCACCTGTAAAGAACTTCAGCATAAAAATGCCACAAAAAATAAGGATAGCTATTTTTATTATTATTTATTATTAAAAAAACAAAACAACAAGAAAACAGCAATTTTTAAATTCATTCTTGTTATTAAGACGACTGCATGCCCCTGTCCTCCAGACATGCTCTGGCAGCCTGTAATGTCCTCCTCACTGTTATCAGCAGACTCCAAACACAGCATTCACATTTTTGATGCCCTTTTCTGATGGTAGGGAATTTTAATCATGTCTCCTTGTTCTCCACTCCCCTCACTCTCGTACAGTATGTTACCTGCAACAACTAAAATAATAAATCACTTATGTATTGATGCCAACACCGAGGAGGCATACTACTCATCACCTATCTCTCCACAAGCACAACTCAAACCACAAACAGTTTCATTTCTAACCTATAAAAGCCTTTTTAACGTAGAGCTGAAAGAAGCAGAGTGAAAGGATGAATGTACGATAATTAAACCCAATGACACAGTCTCTTATTGGACAATCTACATCATTTTATCATTTCAAGTTATTTAAAGAGGGAGCTTCTACAGACAAATCTGCTGTTTGTACATAAACAGCAGAAAATTTTCCCATTTTGAATAAATTTTTTTTGCAGATGCAGTCGCTTTGTCAAGCAAGTCAAGCCATTAGGCACGTATCCTTCCCACTGCTCCGTAAATAAATTAGCATGAACCCTGCTTTGCTCATGCTTTAATACCTCTGACCTCCAGTTGTGAATTCTCCTTTCTGGGAGTTGTAGCAAAAATAGGTATACTGTGTGCTGTTGGATTTTGAGTTTTATTCAGTCTCCTTTATTCTATAGGTTAGTAAACATTTGTGAATATTTGTTCCCTTTATGGCAATAAGGTTTCTTTAAATATTAACTCATGGAATTGTTTTTTTTTAATTCACTCTTATATGGCCTCCATGTGATGCAGAACTTGCAAAAAGGTTTAAGAGGATGTTTGTTGAGCTCTGCAAAGGTTATGACAAATTCCTCTACAGTCATGGCCAAAATTTTTGAGAATGATTCAAATGTTAATATTTACAAAGTGTACTGCTCCAGTTTTTTTAACGGCAATTTACATATACTCCAGAATGTTATAAAGAGTGATCAGCGTAACAGCAATTAATTGCAATGTCAATATTTGCCAAGAAAATGAACTTTATCCCCCAAAACACATTTCAACATCATTGCAGCCCTGCCTTAAAAGGACCAGCTAACATCGTTTCAGTGATTGCTTCTCAGCCAAGGGAGTCGGCTCTCTCACAATCTTACCTAAAAACACAGCCATGACTAAAGAATGGTACCAGAATGTCCTCCGAGAGCAACTTCTCCCAACCGTCAGAGAGCAGTTTGGTGATGAACAATGCCTTTTACAGCATGATGGAGCACCTTGCCATAAAGCAAAGGTGATATCTAACTGGCTCAGGGAACAAAACATAGAGATTTTGGGTCCATGGCCTGGAAACTTCCCTGATCTTAATCCCATTGAAAACTTGTGGTCAATCATCAAGAGACGGGTGGGCAAACGAAAAACTAGGCAATCAAGCGTTGATTGTGCAGGAATGGACTGCTATCAGTCAGGATTTGGTCCAGAAGTTGATTGAGAGCATGCCAGGGAGAATTGCAGAGGTCCTGAAGAAGAGGGGTCAACACTGCAAATATTGACTTGCTGCATTAACTCATTCTAACTGTCCATAAAAGTTTTTGTTACTCATAATATGATTGTAATTGTATTTCTGTATGTGATGTCAACATCTGACATACACACATTAAAACCAGAGGGCAGTAGATCGTGTGAAAATATAATATTTGTGTCATTCTCAATACTTTTGGCAATGACTGTACACACATTTCACTTGTGCTGCAGACCCCAATAACTTTCTGTTTGTTTTCAGATCGGTCAAAGATTTGATTTCCTAAGAAAATAAAATTTATGACTGCTGGGAAAAATCCACATGACTCAAAATGATGTCCTTCTTTTATGTTAAGATTTTAATCTGTGTAACCTTTACCAAACAGGCATAACTGGAATTGTCTTACTGAAACATTCCTTGCATATTTTTTTTCTAGAAATACTCTCTATATATCTGTTTTGTTAGTCATTCCTTTTACGTTAGACAAATACAGTTCACGTTACCTCACAGTATTAAGAAAGAAGGATTAGTTGTAACTTACAACATAACCAAACCTTTACATTTTTGATTACATGCTCTGTTCCTTTGTTGTTGTTTTTTTGTCTTTTTGCACTATATTGATGTGACCTTAGGGAAATCTGTGTGTACATTTTTTAAAAAGGTGTCTTTCTTAATGGCTGAAACTGCAGGAAAGCTGTAAAGGTACTGATTAACAAAAGACTGTTTTAAGATCCCTGAACTTCAGACATCTTGGCACAGTGTTCTCATGAACTTTGCACTATAAAAGAGAACATGACAGCGGAAAGGATTGTAAAAGTCTTCGTGTCTACTTGTTCCTGAGTAGCGTAAGTAAAAAAGAAATTTCTGTTAGCAGAGCATTTATCTTAGGTGACTATCTTAACACTTTTATGATTTTACTTAGTTTATATGTAAATGGTTAGAGGGTGGACAAGATATGAGAGCATGGACATGTTTTTTCTTGCAGAGTTTTTGTTAATATCTGCACAGGACATGTCCTCATTTGTTTGTTCTCTAGTTATCTCACTTGCCAAAGGCTAATACGTTCTAGTTGTTGCACATTTAAGCACAAAGGCTCAGACTGCATTACACACATAAGATATTACTGTATTACACATAGTAACAACACCACAGAGTAAACAGACACTGAGATTATTTTAGATAATTGCATACAGATGCATGCTTCTTTTACACCCATTCTGTTGCACCGCCTTAGGAAGCCTAGGAAGCAGCCCTGTTGAGAGCTGATATAGCAGGTGATGCCCTTATTTGGTACTGGCCCAGATCATGTGATCACAAAATGGTGGAAGCTGTGAGCTGTTTATAAGCTGAGCATCTCCATCGAGAGGCTTGAAGCAGGAAAAAAGGCAGTACATCCATGCTCTGAGACAGTGGGACAGAGATTCCCAAACCCCAGCAGCGGTGAGTAGATGGCTTTTATTCAAGGGGAAAGAAAAGAGGAGAAAAGAGGTGTACGTTTTGTTATTTTCCTCCTTTCCTCACAGCCAGCAGACAGGAAGCGAGAGGGAGGGAGGGGCTGCTGTCATCAGCACCGTGATCCTGTGCTGTGATGTGGAAGTATATCTGAAGCAGCATCTTCCAAGGAGGATGAATTTCTATCATATTCAGCAAAATATCAGTGTTTGTTGGTTGATTTAACTGTAGATTTGTGTAAATGTGTGTATATGTATGTGTGTGTAGACATCATGTGGATGAAAACACCCACACTCCTCATTAAGGCAGTTATGTCAACAATACAGGTTTCACAAGAGCGTTCAGCACATTTCTGTTTCAGCTGCTGATGTAATCACATTTTCACAGTTGCCCTGAAAGCCTGCTGAGGAGGAACAACCATGGCTCTTTTTCATGCGAATGAACAAACATCATGTGACTCTCTGTGAATTTGCATCTCTAAACAATCTGCGTTCAGGCAACCGTGTAGTCTTTCGATTTGAATCAGCACTTCAGGCAATAAGGAGGGCAGGGAGCTTGTCATGATGTAAGATGATGCCCAGAACCATCCCCCGCCCCCCATCCCAACATAAAAACACACACACACCCCAAATACAATCCCAGCCTCTTCCAATTAGAAGTAAGGGAGCGTGGGTATCAAGGGCCCCCCTCATGGGTGGGTTGTCAACTTTACACAGCTAAAACTCCTCCTATTGCATGACGTGAACCAGGGTTTCAATGCTGTGCATCTAAAATGCAGAGTGGTGACCTCAGTCATAAAAACATAAAAAAAATAGGATCGACGGGTGGGAGGCACATATCCTAATATTATGTTCTGGGTCCAGCTAAGGCTGTCAGCTGGCCAGACTCCAGGCACATATATATGCATGGTTAATTAATCCAAAGACAAAACCAAAGAGCAAAAATACACACTTGGACAAATATTATTGGTACCCTTTGTTTAGGGAAACACAAAGGCCCAATGGTCACAGAAATAAATTTGACAAAAGTAATAATATATGCATATCATATTTGATATACTTTATGAAGAAAGTCAGACATTACTCTTCAACTATGGTTCAACACAATTATTTAAAAAAGTAAACTTGTGAAACAGGCCTTGCCAACAATGAGGGCCCTCATTAAAAAAGACAGAAAATAATGTTACCTAAGGGACACGTTAAAACAAGGTGTGTCCACTAATTTGCTGTACAGGTGTCTACAATCTACTAATCTGTATGTGTAGATTGAATATTCAGAGGGAAAAAAGGACCTTTTAACTTCAACTGTAATATTTCCTTTCTCCACCCCTTGTCCATCACTTCTTGTAACCTTTGACCTGGTAGGGAGCAATATGCACTGAGGTGTGGCTGAAAACTTACATGTGTAGATCATCTTCTACTGATCAACTGATCACAATTAACTAAAAGAAAAATGAGTGTGCACAACATCTATAATTTCAAAATAAAAGAGAGGATTGTATGTATCCCTAGCTAATAAAGCTACACACAGTGCTGTTTAAATGAATATATGATTTTATATAATAAATACATGAAATGGTTTGATCAGTTTTGTTTTATAAATTGCTGTATTTTTGTTGTCAGTGTTTGGTTAACATACTGCACTAACCTTAAATTGTAAGAACATTCCACATGCTGGTATCACTCTGCCACACTCTGGTTTAGAAGAGGGTCAAGATGTGGATTGGGTTTTAAGAGTCTTAAGTTTAGTTTCTAGGGATCTGGCTGTTGGTTATATCTAGTGTTTAATGGAGGGGAGGGCTGAGGTTTGGCTCTGTGTAGGAACAGATTGGGTATTCTGTGACCTTATGGTTAATTAAAGGGGTCTGGGTAGGTGTTTAATAATGGGAGATGGTGTACAGGGAGTTTTAAAAGACTTAGGGTTAGGGCTCCATGTGGATTGTACGTGGAGTGTGCTGTGGGTAAGTTAGAATGGTCGGGTAGGAGGTATGTAAAAAAAAAAAAAGGATTATGGGGTATGGGTCTCAGGTTTAGGATAGGTCAGCGACCCAAACCATAACCCTAACCCCTAGTACCTGTTGGGCTGGGTGAGTTTTTCTTAAGTTAAGGTTCACATATCTGCTGGTAATGGTTAGGGTTAGGGTAAGGGTCTGGGTTAGGTGATAAAAATGAATGCAATATGAGTTAAGGTCAATCGAATGTCCCCACAAGGATATTGTGACACACTCTTCATTGTGTTGCTATATGTAGTGAGGACTATATGTTTACTCTTAATTACTTCCTTTGAGTTATTTTATTTTGAATCTTCAATTATTTTTATGCCCTGACCCTGATGATAAACCTAACCATTACCAGTTCATACCAAAACCTAACCCCTGAGGTATTAGTCTATGAGAAACTTTCAATGAGGTAAGTTTATTTGTATCCTTAAATTGTTCCGTATTTGTATTTTGGGTCTTTATTTTAAAAGTAAATATAGACAGAGCATGGTGTCTGTAATGAGGTTGGTAGATTTACATATTATCCCTATTCAAATCAAACAGCTGCCAGCGGTAAGTTCTAGGTAGTGACATTGTTTACTGCTCCCCTCTCAACTGCTGCTACTTGATAGAACTGAGGTGTTGTCAAAAAACAGCAGCACCGCATTGGAGAGAGCAAAGCGGTAAAAGCTGAAGTTCAAAACACTGAACTTTTCTGTGAAACAGCTTCAGGGCAAACCAATCAGGGACTGGCTGTAGTTCTGTATTAGGATAAAGAAGTGCAGGTGAGGCAAAGCATTTTTCAGTTAAAAGGGAACATAAACTAAATAATGTTGACAAAGGAAGGAATAGTCTAAATACATATTAGGTGGCTTTTGAAAAAGTCATTTAAATTAAGCCCTAGAGGGACTGTTTTTCATCCTCCCTTACCTCCAGCACAAACCCCAGTCTGTCGCTGCCATTCACCAGAACTAGTACTAGTACTTTCTGTGGGTAGAATTAGAAGGAAACCTGCACTTAAGAATCACTTACCATTCAGTCTATTTGCTGAGTTTTTCTTCACATGGGTGGTTTGTCAGCTTCTTGCCGCTGAAGCTGCTCCAATTGCATGACTCGGTCCAGGTCATGTAATTAGAGTGAACTCCCATGTAAGCATGTAAACTACTACTGACACGATGCTCAGACTGAATGCACCTTAGCAGAGTATTTATGCTCGGGGCCCCCAAATGGCTAGCACCACCTGTAATTTCTTTTTATCTGAAAATAAAGTCTTACAGCTTCCCCTTGGATTCTCTAAGTGTAGCTTGTCGGGTCCAATCTTTGTTTCCTTGTGTAGTAAAGGACTGTTCAGAGTACTGCTGTTATTATACAGCACTGCTTCAGCTAATAACTGAATACCTTATTAGATCCAGGTAGACATTACAGTAGATATGTGATCATTTATTTCCTTCAATCAACCGAAAATACCTCCAGCTACATGAATGTACTGCTGATTTGTGTCAAAGTAATGGATTTCTTTTTAATATATTTTTTTTTAAATCAACAAATACTGCAAGCTTCAAATTGTGGAAAGGTTTGTTGCGTAGGTTGGGGATGCGGCTAGAAATCCCAGTATGCTCTGCAGGCTGGAAGAATGCCCCCCACGTCACAAAGCGCGGGAACACTTGGAAGTGATTGTTTTGCGTATCACTAAATTTAAAAAAATGTGAAACAAGGCTTCTACCTACAGCTGCTCTTGGTCTACTAACACTGCTCAGGTTCAGGTTTTCCCTCTGATTATTGTAATAATTGACGGCTGCTTGATTACAAGGACAGTAATTTTGTGATCACACTACAAGCAGGCTGTTACTTCGGAAACAAAAAACAAAAAGACAGTTTAAATTTGGGTTTACTTGAGTTTTTTCCCTGTTTTGACCATGGTGCAGCACATGAATGTAAATGGACAATTGCAACTGCCTTTCGTCTGATCTTGTCTGCATAAGTAATTAGCTATGTGCTTACTTCAAGTCACACAGCTTATTGGTTGATACGCATTTTGAAAGCCAGTTTTGCACCAGGCAAAGCCGCTATGTTAGTGAGCTATGGGCTTTGCCACATTAAAACATTCAGATGCAGCTGGGGGAGATTTTAATTTGAAAACAGGCCCAGTTTAAATTAGCCTAGGACCACATTTTAACTGGAGGGATGTTACCTGCCACCAATCACTGCATCATGCACTTCTGCTACAGTTCATCTGCGCAGCTACATGTCTTTACATCAGCCAATCATCATTCAGGACATTGTTCTTAAGGCGCCAGACTTAAGGATAGGCTCACTTTACATCTGAACTGCAACCCTCCTATGCCACTTCTATCCACTATACGTACTGCCCAAAGCTCCCCTCATGTTTTAGCTTCCATTTCACCACCTGTTTCAAACTTCAAGGAAAAAGATTTCTTTAACTTACAGTTAGAGACAAATCGACAGCATTCAGCCCTAATGTCTTCTGCTGTGGTCAGAGAACTAAGGACATATTTTCTCCTGTCAATACAACTTGCTAATTGCTGCTTTTTCTCCACACGTGCGTCTCTCAGGTTAAGTCAGTCTCTAAAACTAATAAGAGGTTATAAATACTGCTTAAAAACACCTGCTTTACAAGGCTTTACTGTAAAGAGTTGTAAAGATGTTGAAGGATTTTGTGCACAGATTCCTGAGTTTGGTGTTTTTCACCACAAAAATATGTTAAACGTGTAATGTTTTTTTCTTACAGGTCCCCCTAGGGATTGACCTGGCCTCGAACAGTAAAATGACTTCAGAAGGTGATGATGGGAGACCAGGTGGGTGTAAACTAAGCATCCTATGCTTCTAAAACATCAATGTTGTTCAAAATGATAAATTGTTTCAGCATTTTTTTTTTTTATTCTAGCTCCTCCTACATCTTTACCTCTGCAAGGAGGTGCAAGGAAAAAACTATCTGCACCACGGATCAGCTTGTCACTGGACCACAGTGAAGATGACCTTGGAGAGACTCCTGATGATCTGGACATTAACGTAGATGAACTCGACACTCCAGACGAGGGAGATTATCTCGACTACACAGACCATGAGTTAGACTGGGAAGGTGGGTCACAGCAGGGAAAAATTAAACACTGTGGTTTGATGACATCATAACCCCAAATAATAACTAAATAGGCTCAATTAACACTTAAATTAACTAATGCTGTAGTAATATTTACTGTTAAACTAATTTTTTGCTGTTTTAACTATTTTTATGTTTATGTGTAAGCTATAATTTACATCTTAATTTTCTTTGGGGTTAATAAATGAATTTATTAGATTGGAGAAAGTAGAATTGACCTAGATTTAGGATTGTTTCATTTTGGCTGCTCTAGTTAAAGATCTTACTGATGTGCATACTGAACAACTATTGTGAGTTTGACCACAAATCATACAAATATGTTGTGATGTAATGGTAGTTTTGGTCTTTTGTCAGAACAAGATCCCGTTACAGCCAATAAAAGTGGGACAAGCGATACCTACAATACTATTCCAACATACAGTGCTGAGGAAGAAAGGCGTGATGTCAAGTTATGGAGGACTGTTGTTATCGGGGAGCAGGAGCACCGAATCAACATGAAGGTTATCGAGCCCTACATGAAAGTGGTGTCTCATGGAGGTGAGGATGTTTATTTGCTGTTTTCAAATCACCAAAAACTTATAAGAAAAAATCCTATTAGATCAGTCAATATTAGACAATAAGCACACGTTCTTTAAAGAGCAAGTTCTCAGGTCCTTTTTCAAAAGTGACCCTTTCTCCTTTGTGAAATTATTTCCATTTAGCCTCAGGTGTGCATATCCACAAATCATAAATGTCATATTATATTATTAATTAAACTGTGATGGATTAGAACTGGGAAACATTTAAAAAAAATCTAAGTGCTTCTCTAAAGTTGTATAGAAAACATAAAATTGTCCTTTATGGTGTACGCTCTTCTTTCTATGATTAAATTTAAGTTTAAGTTTAAATGCTAAACTAAAGTTTGAATGCGACTCCCCCTTTTTTCTCAGTCCATGAGAAAAAAAGTTTCATTATTGTGCAGAAGACATCAAATTAAGGAGTTGTTCTTTTAAGCTGTCTTTACATTTTATGATAAATTATACCGCTTTTCAAGAGATTAATGTTACTAACCCAGTTTTCTTTTAGTTTATCCTATAGAAAATCTCACATTAGAGGTTAAAAATTTAAATAACAAAATAATGCAATTTGCTATATATTTATAATAATTTTATGTTCTATATTTATTTAATTACCTCTGTTATCTGCCAAAAGTCCTCTCTACTCTTCAACAGCCTTCTGAGCTGATATAAAGAGAGAGAACTTAAACCAGCAGCAAAGGAGAATCTGGCCTAATTCATCAAGCTGAGAATGACTTGGTTAAAATCTGATTGTGTTCTTTAATATAGGTTTTTTGTTCAATGTCTAATGGTAAGGTTTCTGTCATTTTTTTTACTCTTAACAAATTAAGCATTTTATAAATTCATAGTTATCAATAAGCTGTGATTAAAATTCATAGTAATTGGATCAAATGTATTAAGGTCTAAATATTCTCTCAACCAAACTTTTATATAACATTTGATTCATAGGAGACAGACTTTCTTCAAAATGAAAACTTAATCGTCTAATCATGAAAAGTGCTTTTTAAGTAGATGAACAAATGTAGTATGGACATACAAAAACAATTTAGAAAATAAGTATATTTTATGTATGAGATTCAAGGTGACTCAGAACTTCAAACAAAAAAAAATCCAACAGACTTTGGTTGTGTATGAAATGTATCTTTGAAAGTTTTTGAAAAAGCCTGATGATAACTGGAGAAGAAAATCTAATATCAGGATTAAAAATTATCTACAGCAGATGAAGTGCATCTGAGAGTCAAGTCCTTAAAAGATAGGAGGGATAAATCCATCAAAGGCTTCAAACAGGACCTGAGAGAGACATTATCCACCGGCTGATCCATCCATGGCAAGATTCTTTGGTTAGAAACTAAATGATTTATAGATAGTTTCTAAGTGGCTACAAAAACAAAATCCCCACTCTTCTCAAAAGCTCAGATACAAGAGGGAAGATAATAAAAAAAAAAACTCTGAAATTCAGAAGCCCTTGTAAAAAGTGGTGAAACATATTTCGGATCAATATTTGGGTCTATTAAGACAATTTTTCCACAGTACTACTGCTTCTTAGAATTTATAGTACAGAGTAACTACTGTATAGGAAAGAAGCTAAATAATCCATTTTTTTTTTTTGCCCAAATAATGTTCACCTAAGTCAATGGTTGCTGGAACCATTTTTCCCCATATTTACTAATTGGATGACTAACTAGGTGACTTTTGGGCCATTACTGGTTTTAATAACTGGTGTTATTTAGGAGTATCAGATTTTTCTAAAAACAAGCACATCATGAGTTTTTAGACTTTTCTTTGTAAGTATGTGTCGTTTCAGTTAGTTTTCCACTATTATCCCCACATCATCATTCTTACATGCCTTTATATGTAGCTGTATCCATTAAAACGTCTCAAACTTTAGAGAAATAAAGAAAAAAAAGCTTATGACATATAAGCTTTAGAGTGTGGATGGACACCATGCAAATGTGACCTTTACAGACAGCAGACGAGGCCTTCTCCTGCTTTGCTCATTACAGGAGGCAACACAGCTGTTCCATGTAAACAGAGATGTCTGTCACGGAAAAGTCAATATCAGAAGCTCTGTCATCTGAAGAAAAGCTCCTCTGTCTGTGTGTCACCAAATCTGCTGATAAATGGGATGGTGAATAAAAAAAGGAAATTACAATAATCTGATGAGCAGAGAAAGAGGAAATGGGACAAAGAATCTGACAAAAGAATCTAAGAATGGCAGATAAATAGAACAAAAACGCAGAAAATAGCAGGGCAATTAAATTTTCCCAAACAAAGGAACACTGAAGTTGACTCTCATTACTTTCCTTTTTGTGTTTTGATCAGGTTACTATGGCAATGGGGTGAATGCCATCATAGTCTTTGCTGCATGTTTTCTACCAGACAGTGCCCGAGAGGACTACCATGAAATAATGGAGAACCTCTTCCTGTGAGTAAACCACAATGACTAACAAAGCCTTGCTGCTTCTCATCTCACACTGACCTCCAACAATAATTATTGTTTTCTGTACTATTAACAAACATTGAATCATCCTCAGAAGTAGAGACAGTTTGCAAATTGTGTAGACACAAAATTGTTTACAATGACATAATGAAATGTTAATTGTAAGCTCTATTAGATTTTACATAATTTGTTGAGATCATAATCATTCACATTGTTCAATTCAATTCATTTCAAAAGTACTTTATTATCCCAAAGGGGAACTTAATTGTCACAGTAACTCATCAGCTTCTTTTAGGGATTGTTGTATATCAGGGTTGTTTAAACCTGGTCCTAATGGCCCACTGTCCTTCATGTTTCAGATGTGTCTCTACTCAAGCACACCTGATTCAAATAATTGCATTAGCTTCTCAGCAGCTGCATAAGCAGCATTTGATCTTTTTTATTCAGGTCAGGTGTATTAAAGCAGGGAAATATCTACATGTAGGACAGTGAGCCTTGAGGACCTGGGAAAAGAAGGACCAGGGTCGTAGACGGCTTCGCACTTACTTCTCTAGTCAAGTTTGTTGTCCATGTTACAGAGATGGGTGATGTGAGGTCAACAAGTCATCTCTATTGCATGTATGTATTCTGCACAGCCGCTGAACCAGGGGAGTTCAATCTGCACAGTGAATTTCATTCTAGCATGAAGATGACTTGTTAGCCCAATCTCAAAATGCCCCCTATGCAGTATCCCTTAACCATATAGTGTCACTCCCTATGAAGTCACACTCACAGCTGTGGAAGGTGACTTGATTGAAGGTAAGGGTGTATGAATGAGAATGGGACATCCTCTTCCCTCACATGGAAAAGGAAAGAAGTTCTTTCTGTGGTAATGCAATGATACCCCATGTGCATGGATTTAGCTCTTTTACGTTCATTTTGGAGTTAATGACGTACTTTCTTTTTCCTAACTTCTGATTTTTTTGTCAATGTGACAAAGATGCAGCTAACCAGCTGAACTAATACTTAGGTAAAAAGAGGTGTTTCATTGGCTGTTAGGTCACTGTTATACTCACTGCCCAATTCCAGCGAGCCTGCACTGATGCGGACTTGCTATTTAAAGGCTGAATGGTCTGCTTGCCCGACCCACTACAGGGTTTTAGAGAGCTCTTATGTGGCTGACCCTCCATGAGAATGTGCAAACAGAGGGTTAGTGCTTAGGCATAGTGTTTAGGGGCTGTTGGGGATGACACTGTTGGCTCCGCATTCCCAACTCTTCCACCAACCGCTCTTCTTCAATTATGTTAAACGGATTGAACTTGTTTCTGTCATTTCTCAGATCTACAATCATAACTCTTGTTTTGTTCACATTCAGGATCAGATGATTATTTAAAACCATGCCACAAAGCATTTCATCAGCTCCCTTTAATCTGCTATAAAATGCAAATTAAATTCCCTATTGAGCCTCCTAATAATCTTTTTCAAAACCAAAATACATGTACCAATGCTAAAATATTTATAGGTTGGATAAAAATTGTAACTAATCATTTTTCTATACTTGTCCAGGTATGTTTTTTTAATTTAAGATAAAATAAATAGGTTATCCCTAACTACACAGATAACTATTGCAGTCTCTGCTTGACATTCTCGTGACTGACCACAGATATATTTAATTGTGTAAAAAGAATCTGATATACCCAGCACCACCAGTGAAAATTAATAGTTTGTTATCCATCCATCAATTTTCTGACACACTTTATCCCAAGTGGGGTCGCGAGGGGTGCTGGGGCTTATCTCCAGCCGAGAGGCAGGTACACCCTGGATCAGTTGCCAGTCCATCGCAGGGCAACACAGAGACAAACAGAACAATCAGCCATTTACACACACATCTTAAGAGAGTTTTGAGAAGCCAATTAACCCAACAGTCATGTTTTTGGATTGTGGGAGGAAGCTGGAATGCCTGGAGAATCCCCACGCATGCTCAGGGAGAACATGCAAACCCCATGCAGAAAGAGCCCAGGACGGGAATTGAACCCACAACCTCCTTGCTGCAAGGCAGCCGTGCTACCACTGGGAATGAAAATCTGAATCAAGTTTAAGTTTGCTTGCAGAGACTTGCTTGGGTTTGTGATTCCACCATTGTTCTGTCTAAATGGCCTTTCATGCTTTCACTGTGCTGTTTAGATCCCACAGGCTTTTCTGTTGCAGACTTTCAAAAAGCTGGCATGTTTTGAGAGTTTTGGACAGAAATGAGAGAAGGTAAAAAGTAGAGTCTGCAGTTTCCGATGCCAGATGGCTTAAAGTCTGATTCCTTGTGAGCAGCAGCTACCATAGCTTTGTGAAAAGCTGTGTGTCAGTGGGAGATGATCTAAGCAGTCACAAAACAAAGTCAATTGGCAGCGTTGGACTGTGAGGGTGTCAAGTAGGACTAAGACCAAAGTCCAGCAAGTTGAAGAAGTTACTGAGAAAACTCGCTGACGACTTTTGCAACTTTATTTTCAAAGCATGACTGCCTGGCTGGGAAAAGAGGAGATGGACACAGAAATGAGGACAGAGAGTGATAACATTTCTATAATTTTAGTCTGGGATTTGATTTCAGAGAAGTAACCTTACCATTGAGTCTCTGAGATTGATGTGAAGAAGGAAAGATGAAAAAATGTAAATGCAACAGCTCAGGAAGCGACACTTGCGCTATTTTCCTCTGACATCAGAGGAGAGAAATTTCAACATCCTTGGAGTTGAGGTTTCAGATATACTGTAAGACTTGTCTTCTATTTCCACATATAATTGTATTCGTATTCATAGCAACAGTTGCTTCTCGATTACACAATCTTTCCACATTCGGTGTTAATGGATAATGACACGCTGAACTTAAATTTTCTTGTTTTTTTTTTATACCAAAAAAACTCCTTTATCACACTGACTACAAATATATGCTACAGATTTTTAAATCTCTTATTTTAGTATATATTCCCATATTTAAATGCTTCTTTTTTCCTTTTTAAACAGTTAGACAGAAGTGGTCCATTAGTGGAAAATAGTGGTACTTGCTTTAATAAATGCCTTGTGAGTAACCTCTTCTTTTCACATCTTTTTCTTTATAAATTAAGTAAATAAATGCCCAGTCTGTGCCAAACAGACTGGCCATTTTCTTTTATTTAATACAGATTCTGTGTTTTCCAGAATCTGTATTTAATGTTAAATATTTCAATCTATATTTAAGAATTATGCATTTCGGGATTTTCATACTTGCCTCAATCCAAAGGGGTCATAATACCAACAACAGAAAATAGAATCAGAATAACAACTGTCAGGCAGAGGATGGATCATCTAAATAAGTGTTCCTCCTAATTGTCAATCATTCTGGCGATATGTTTATGTAAGGCCGTCGTACATGCTCTTCCCCATTTTCTTATCTGTATTAAGTCTGACAGTGGAAAAATTGCATCTTCTTTTGGAAAGTAACCTTGTATGAGTGATGCAAACGGCAAATTTTAAACAGAGAGTGCACAAGGAGAAATGGACTCGTGCATGCTCTCGCACGCATTTAATAGGCGTTTCCTCTCCAGAGTACGTAAAGGGTTGTGCATTTTTTTTTTTTTAAGTGGAAAGGTGGGGTCTTTTAAAAAATTTGCAGAAATCCTCCACTATACCTTTAATTGACAGCCATGTAATATTTATGTTTCAGCTATGTCATCAGCACACTGGAGCTGATGGTGGCAGAGGACTATATGATCGTTTACCTGAATGGAGCCACGCCCCACAGAAGAATGCCTGGTCTTGGTTGGCTAAAAAAGTGCTATCAGATGATTGACAGAAGGTGCGTCCTGTAAACTTCCATCTGCAGTCGGACTATATCCAGAATCGATTTCTTATCTGAGAGACTTAAGGATAGCCTTGCATAACTTTGTTCAATCTACAAATTGCTCTACACAATTTGAAGAATTTAAGGTGGAAATGCACTTCTTGATCACCTTGCCTAATATGTGGTACACTAATTTGTGTTTAGGCTCAGGAAGAATTTGAAATCCTTCATTATTGTCCATCCATCATGGTTTATCAGGACTGTTCTTGCCATTACTAAGCCCTTCATCAGGTAAGAGATTAACACATGAGCTCTCTGGTTGAATGTGCTTTTTTAATATTTGCAAAATGTATTTAATTTTAAGTTTGTGAAGGAGAAATATTTTATAATTATGTCATAGCTCTTATGAAATGTTATATTGTTACATTGCTAAAGAAGTTAGAAGATCCTACTTGTGTACTGTTTTGCTTATTTCTAACATTTATAAACATGCAACGAACAAAACAAACAAAAAAGTCTACTGTCGGTATTTTTAATTCAAGATTCAAAATGTTTGTATAACTCCAGATTCTAATTTGGGTTAGTCCTCTGTTGCCAGTAGAAGCATCTTATATCTTTATCAATAGCCATATTGAATAATCTAAATTTGCTGATAATAAAAACCAATAAATTGAGAATGTTTTGATAAGTTGATCTTTTTGGATAATAGAATTCCAGAATTTAGACAGTACCAGCTAAGGTAGCTTTAAAACATTGGTAGTAGAAAACATTAGGTATGACTTCTTATTCTGATGGATACATTGATCTAAAACAATTAAAGTTTATTATTTTTATTTATAGACTTATGTACCATATATTCATCTCTGTTAATTTGGAAGTGTTTCAGCTTACAGTTAGTGAAAATGCATTATATTTCTGAAGATTCTGAAGATTTTGATATTATATATGACCATAAATAACAAAAAAAATTATTTTTCTTTAGGTGAGAATTTATATATAAAACAATTTATATAGAAATGCTCACCTAAAGAAAATTTTTTTTTTATACCCCACTTAAAGGTTTTTATTTACAAAAGACTAAGTATAGTGAAAAGTGCTTTGTTCAAGTCTCCTGACTTGAAAAAAGCATTGTATAAGTACAGGCCATTTCCCATAGAAAATCTTGTTTTAACTTGACCTTTTTCTTAAAAAAAAAAAGGCTATTTAATTATGCATCAAATATTAACAATACCACCAAGAAAGGCAACAATGGATTCCCAATTCCTTAGCATTGTCTTTGGAACGTAATCAGTAAAGTTTTTTAACTGTCACTAATGAACATTGTCGACTAGCCAGCTATTGTTTCCCAATTATTTATTCCTTTATTTTAGTCAGGTATGGTAATATTATAACGAAGTTTCGAATAAATTAAAGTGTTTGTAGTTTTTATATGAACATTATTTATTTTGTTATCATATTCGGATATAAGATGTGTAACCCAAATGTGTCCTTGGCTCCTTTAAGTGAGTGCTTCATGTTTTTTGGTTACACATCTTAAAATTTGCCCTGATAGGAGCATGCATTTTATCATTGCACTTCAGTAAATGTGGACATATTTCTCCTGCTTCAGCGCCAAGTTCAGCAGCAAGATCAAGTATGTGAACAGTTTAGATGAACTGCGGGAGTTAATCCCAATGGACAGCATCCAGATCCCAGAGTGCATCATTAAGTGAGTCCCTCTTAGCCCTTGAGTGTTGCACCATGAGCATCCACTGCAAACCTGATTTGTACTAATGGCTTCGTATTCAACTTGTTTTTTGAACTTCCACCTCTAGACTTGACAAAGAACTGAAAGAAGCAGCAGAAAACTCAAAGTAAGCATTGTCTGTCATGCATCTCATAACCCTCCTCTGTGGAGGCGATGGTCTCTTTCTTGGTTTTTATCCTTGGCTTGAGTGTGCATTGATTAGATCAGCTCCTTTCTTGGATGAGGACCAGTTTTATTTGGCTGTGTTTACAATTAGATTGAAAAAAAAATACAAGAGTTGCTAAGGATGCTAAATGTTTTGCTCTCATCTAATTTATCCTTACAGTAAAATAAATGAAGCAGTCTTTATTCCATATAGATTTATAACACCAATAATAACTGTATAACCAAAAGATGCAGACTTCAAACACTAATCACTCGCAGCCTAATTGTGCTGCAAATCATAAATTGCACAAGCCTTCAAATTCCCTGCATGGAAGCATATTACAACAGTAAATCGTCCTCTAACAATGTCTCCATTTGTTTCTTCTGTCAAGAATAAATAGTTTCCTGCAGGGGACCGAGATGGCAGCAGCCAGCAGAACAGAGTAAGTCCTCAAAGATGTTAAAGTTCACATATAAAAGACAAATGGCCATATGTCCACAGAGTGGCATCAAGACATAAACACACCCATCCTAACTGGTCTACCTTTTTTTTGTGTGTGTCTTTTTTCCAACCTCTCAGCAGACAAGACCAAGCTGGTGCCAGCAGCTCATAAACCACAGCATCCTGAATTAATGGGACACCTCAAGAAGTAACGGCAACGAACGGGTCAAGCTTGAAAAGTGCTGCCTGTGTGTGTGTGTATGTGCATCAGTGTTTTTTTTTTCTTCTCTAAGACACAGCAGTTTCATTTAAACACAACCTACTGTAGAACCTGTTAAAACTCTGATCAATTTTAACCGTAGCATCTGCTGCACTGTAAAACTGCAGCTGAAACAACCCTTATAGTCAAGTGTGTGATGCTTGCAAGCATCAGCAGAGTAGCACTGATGTTGTTTGTGGTTAAAAAAAATAAATGCAATTACACAAAACAGTGATCCTCCAGAATTCAATTTTAGAAACTGTATTTTATTTAGGTGCATGAAATGCAGCGCAGCAATAACACAACACCTTATGTGTTTACTCAGAGTGAGAGGTACATTTTTATGTCAGCTGTTTTACATGAAAAAGGACCAGAGGATGGCAAAAAAACAAACAAAAAAAAACTTGTGCCATAATTTAGAACAGACCTGCAATTAGGTAACCTAATGTTATATATTGTCCTTATTGTATGAAATAAATAAATAGATATAAATAGATATTTAAACTTTATTGTGTTTATGTGGGAGCCAAGCAGGAGTGAGTAAATATGAAATCAAACTGTCACTGATGTTTGGCAGGATGCATTTCAAGCCTTTTTTCTCCAAGTGTGTGTATGTGTGTGTGTGTGTGTGTGTGTGTGTGTGTGGGATGTGTGTGTGTGTGTGTGTTTTGGGTGAAACAAACTGGGAAACGTACCTTTAGCAAATGCTGGCTTCTCACGTAAAACCTCAGTCAATCTAAATGATGGGATTCCAGTAAAGCACAATATCCCATCAGTGTGTCCACATGCATGTGTCTATTTGTACATCAGTGCATGGTCCCACATCACATAACTGATGGATCAAACTTATGTGTCTTAATGAGTCTGAAAAAAGTGAACAAACTGCTGTCTATTGATTCAATAAAAGCAATTCAAAGCATGTATGCAGTTCTCATCTTTGTCTTGAGGATTTAACTTCTATGCTGCCACCTTGCAAAGGTGCAAACAGGTGTGAAGCGTGGCTCAGAACGGGAGATTTTCTGAAATCACATGGATGGTGCAAACTGAAAACAAGCGAGCATAAAAAAAAACTAAAATTGCTGCAGGAATTATATTGGTACTATTGCAACAAAGAGAGTGAAGAGAAAACCTACTAGTAACAAATCAAATTAAAAGTAATTTTATTCGAATTATAGATGGAGAGAAAAGAATTTTGCAAATACTGAAAAGAACTGCAGGTTAGAAAAAGCTGTACACTTGAGGCACAAAACGGAAGTGCACCTGACCACTAGGGGGAGTTGACCACCATGTCATGGGACGTGGTGCTTTTCTGTATAACACTGTAAAAGATTAGAGCCAGGTATTTAAAAAAGACATGAATAAAAAACTGATTTTCTTTGTTCTGTCCAACCTTCTGGGCAAATAATCAATGCATTTACTGAGGACATAACACAAAGACTTAGTGTTTATCTCCCCCTAGTGGTCATGAGCATTACCGTTACAATTTTGTGAAGCAAGATTGCAGCTATTTCGACTAGCTGTTGGTTTTTGGTTTTTGCAGGGCATTTTTCTTTTAGTATTTTGTGATGTTTTCCTTTGAAATGTTTTTTCTGTTGAGTTTGCTTTTGTATCTACCTATCAGCCACCTTGTTTCAAAAGCATTTATCTAAATTAAAATTATAATGACAAACGATTAACAAACAGCACAAGACAGAACATGAGCAATGAAACAAAATCTACTGACATTACAAGCACTAGTGGAACTTTCCTAGGGAAAAGCACTAGGAAAAAAAAAATTCAATGTTTTACTTTTTCTTAAAAATAAAATGCATAGTAAATATACAATTTATATAATACATATAAGGACAGAGAAGACCCTTCTTAAGGTCCAAGCTGTTAAGGCATAAGTGACCTGGTTATTAACAGGTTCTGAAGTCATTTTAATTTAATCCCAGATACTCAGAACTTCAAAACACAGATCCAACCAACTCACTTTTTTCAAAACTTTAAAAGGTTTTTGCAAAACATGGACAAAAATAATGCATGCTTTCTTTTTAGTATTAATGTCTAAATCATTAAAGGGAACATAATAATTTCTATTCTGGGGAACATAATTAAATCAAGCGTTTTTTTTTTTATATTTTTTGTAGCTTTTTCTTGTCTTTAAGGCCATTTTCCATAATCTAATAATCCACTGTTATTCTAAGATAAAGGTGAAAGAGAGACAATTCAGTAATTGTACTGTAAACACCCATTCAATTACAAAATAAATCGCACAAATATCACATTATGTTGAAATGATGAATTACAACTTTATATTTTCTTGGTGGCAATTGAAGATTTCTCTGGTTTTATATTGGACATTATTACATAAGGTTAATATTAGGATTTTTTACTGAGTCAGGAACAGTTATAAAGATGACTAAAATAATAATAAAAAAGAAGTTGAAATATCTATAGGAAGGGTACAAAGGGATCTTAGGACACTAGATCACGCATTGAAAATGCAACGTTCTGGCAACAAGATGATGTTGTCAGCAAGTGACTGAGCCACAGATTTAAGTTCAAGCTAATATTTGCAGCCGCGTATGAAAACAATTTATTTGTCAGAGACTAATTTGTTATGGCCATCTGTAGTTGGCCCTGCTGATTCATTGACTCATCAAGATCTTTGAATTTGGGTTGACCAACAACATATATATATAAGCAGTCACGAAGCCCCCAAAATAATTTTAAAGACTTTGTTTTATCAGATTTTGAGCACAAGAGCAGCAAAGTATCTCTGCTAAACTTGGTCTTTTCAAGTATGAAAGAATAAATGAATGCAAACAATATAAGTCTAAATTGGCTGAAATACTTTAAAACACAGTCCGAGCTTCATCAAACCATCAGTTTATTTGTAACAAACAAAATTTTTTGTTTTCAGCACTTGGACCACCTAAGATTATGAAATGCATGATGACTTTAATTAGTGGATTAAAATGATCTCTACTGATTCTGTTTTGATTCTTCAAATTTAAAATAGAAAAGATTTATATAATTTCATATATATAGTACTAATCCTGCAGTACCCTTTTTTCCATTAAATTCACAATGAAGACCTTTATCAACGATCAGAAGCACAATAACTTTATGGTAAATATTCGTTCCATTTTATTGTATAATTTGAACAATTTTCATGTTTCATAGGTCTTAGACGGAGACAGTTTTGAGTTTTGTTCCCAATATTGGAACCTTTACTGCATGTTTTACAATGTCTTCTGTTTTTGTCCTGTTCCTCTATGATTACTGCAAATAAAGCGAAATAGTGTCACCAAAACAAACAAACAACAACAAAAAAAAACTACACAAGATGAGTTAAAAATGGAATCAATGGACCAAGCCTTAAAGGACAGTGGAAATCATCTTTGCTGTTAGGAATAATTCTTTTGACATTCTGTAATTGCTATCATTACTGTTAACAATGCTCTATATCTAATAAAAACAAGGTAAAATACTGTTACCAAATGACTGTTTGGCGTCTGCCTTAAAATTTGTAAACTTTAATAGATAAATGCCAAACAACCTATGTAGATGGGTGACAGCCACATGCAGTATCACAGAAATTAAGCATGGGAAGTATGGATTTATGTTTGCAACACATTTCATTTTTTGAATGGATAGAAGTCATAAAATGCTGCTTATTATAAATAGCTTCTCAAATCTCATTTGACTGAGCTCATTCAGTGAAGATAAATAGATCTGTCCCTCAGGGCAGAGCAAGAATAACATTACAGAGGAGAAAACAGGAAGGCAGAAAAGTTACAAGAAAACAGAGGAGTGCTCCATTTTTGCTCTTTTATCTGAATCTGTAACTCTCATCATCATACTCTAGATCATCTTCATTGTCATCACCCAGCTGTCCATAACGAAACTTCCTGTACACTGTGCCATCCTGGCCCATGTAAACAATGTCCTCATCATCGTCATCGTCGTCATCATCCTTATTCCCTGAGTGACGTGTGCCGATGTCCACCAGCTCTGCTTCTTGGAATCGGCCTCCAGAGGGGCCACCGTAAGAGGTAGAAGAGGAAGAGGTGTTGCCGCGATATATGCTGCCGCCTCCAAAACCCCCACCAGAACCAAGCTTTTTATACCCACGGGGTGGCAGGTCTGATGGCCCACTTTTTGACCGGGAGTGTCTGATGAGGAAGACGACGCCGACAAGTCCCAGGACAAGCAGGATGGAGGCAATGATGAAGATGGTTAGGTTCCCTTTAGATTCCTCTGCCTCTTCATTTGTGAATGCCAAGTTCGTGCTGAGGATGCAATGTCCTGAAAAAAAAAGCAAGAAATCAACTACAGATGTACTCCTGAATTATAAATGGAAGTATGATGGTGTGTTTACATGATAGCAAAATTCAAAGGACACTGTGCCATTTTAACTCCCCAATATCAGTTGTTTTATCATTGCTTGAGGGAGAACTAAAATAAGAAAAGATTCTACAGCTGTACATGAAACAGGATTCAGATCAGGAAAATACATTATATTAAATAATACATTTTAAACATCGCAACAGGAAAGTAAGATTTTATTTTCATAAAAACAAAGAACAAAATAAAAGTGTTCTGCAAAATATCCTCAAAACTTCCTGACCTTTTCAATCTAAAGACGCACTATGCTGCCACCACTGTGTTTCACTGGATAGGGAGGAATGTAGTGTTATCTTTTTACAAGGCTTAAGATATTTATTACAGCGTTTAGGAATTCATTTTAGTAGCAATATTTCAATTTCATCCATCATTTTTTCTCTGTCCAGCAGCACTGCAGTCTGGGTTGCAACATGACAAACAACTATTTTCCAAACACTGAGCTCCTACTGATTGAAGCTTTATTTATTTGAAGAAGTATTTTAGGATAAAATAAACAAATAATTAGTCATATTAATAGTTTTAATAGTTTATCTGTTGATTATATCTGTCTGTCATGATTCTACCTGTTTAGCCATTTTCAATCAGCATCAGTTTTCTGTAGCTAACCTCGAGTCTCAGTGCAGTTGCAGCAATCCTCCTGTAGGGTTTCAATCACTTTCCATTCCTCATCATAACGGCAACACGGTAGACAACGCCCACTGGCTTCTAAGATCCCCTGAGCAGAACAGGAGGTGCAATTGTACGGACCGGGTCCCCGGCACTCCTGACAAGAGCCATCACAGTCTTCACACATGGGGTCTGAGCCCTGCTGAGAGAAAGAGGCAACTTAAACAATTTATAAAATATATATATATATATATATATATATATATATATATATATATATATATATATATATATATATATA